AGCTCTTAGCCCCCCACGCCGAAAAGCTTTTAAGAAGTGGACCCCTCCTCGGTCACCTTTTAATCTTGTTCAGGAAACCCTTTTTCATGATCCATGGAAGCTCCTCATCGCTACTATATTTTTTAATCGGACCTCAGGCAAAATGGCAATACCTGTGCTTTGGGAGTTTTTGGAGAAGTACCCTTCAGCTGAAGTAGCAAGAAGTGCAGACTGGAGAGATGTGTCAGAACTGCTTAAGCCTCTTGGTCTCTATGATCTTCGCGCAAAGACCATTGTCAAGTTCTCAGATGAGTATCTGACAAAGCAGTGGAAGTATCCAATTGAACTTCATGGGATTGGGAAATACGGCAATGACTCTTACCGGATTTTTTACGTTGATGAGTGGAAACAGGTGCACCCTGAAGACCATAAATTAAATAAATACCATGACTGGCTTTGGGAAAATCATGAAAAACTAAGTCTATCTTAAAACTCTTTCAAGTTTAAAGAAAAGAAAAGTGAAAGATACTTCCCTCATTTTGATTACAATCTAACATAAGATTTCTTGGCATTTTTACGTTTCTTTTCTTTTATCCCCTTTCTACTCAAGGCATTTTGATTTTAATTTCTAGTGCATTGAAGAAAAACTGTAGCATCTGAAAAGAAGGATCCTTTATATTAAGATTGGATTAGTGTTGCTATTGTTAGAAATTATTGAGCTGGTTCATCCTCACTGTGCTTGAACGCTCTGCTGTACCTAGTATAAATTTAATTATGTAGTTGAGTGTCTTCCTCTCTTTTAAATCATATTTTTGTTTTCTGATCCTCTAATTTACCTTGTATGATTTTTTTTTCCCCCCACACTGGTCCTTCTTAGCAGTATGACTAAAGTTAGGTGATGTTTAACCATCTTTATTTCCCAGAAATCCTTGCTCCATTTCTTCCTACACAGATTTATTTGTTCTTTTGGCACTTATGATAATTCAGGATTCTTTGCCAACAAAATTGAAGGTCATCAAATCTTCTTCAGTCATCCTTATTCTTTGTCCAACTTTCATATTAATGTTATTGTTGTTATATACCGTAGAGTCGGAACTGACACATAGCTTACCCACTGGTGGGTTTTCAGAGTTAGTTAATCACACTGGAGGAGATTGTCCATCCCTTGCCTGTAGTGGATTTAAATTGCATGTCTTTAGGACTGCAGCACAACTTTTGCCACTAGTCTAGCCATCAAAGCTCCCTTCATTTATATGTATTAGTGTACTCTTGTAGTGTACCGTAGAGTCAGAATGGACTCATATCTGACCCTCTAGCAGGTTTTCAGAGGCAGTTAATTGCATGGGAAGAGATTGCCTGTCCTTCTATCACAGGGCAGCTGGTGGCCTCAAACCGTGTGTCTTCGGGTTTGCAGCACAGCTTCTGGCCACCAGGCCAAGACACTTAAAAGTACTGTTACTTTGAATAGGTGAACCTTAGTTCTCAAAATTACATTATTGCGAACAATATCATTGATATAACATGCAAGCAAGATTCTGCTGAAAATTATCCAAAAACGTTCGGAACAATATGTCAACAGAGAACTGCCAGATGTGCAGGCTGGATTTAGAAGAGGTCGTGGTACTAGGGATATTATAGCTAATTTCAGATGGA